AGACTAGTTAATGCTAGTGGATCTAGGAAAACTTCCACCGTTTGGTTAGACTTTAACATTTTGCCGGATGAACCTGAACCAATAGCTGCGTGTAAACATTGTCACAAAAGATATCGATGCGACCCTAAAACACATGGAACATCTAACATGTTAGCTCATTCAAAAGTGTGTCACAAAAACCCTAACCTTTTACAGAAAGATCCCACTCAAAGAAACCTTGTAAGTGGTGAAGGCGGTTTTTTAGGTTCAACAAGCCAAAGGTTCAATGCTCAAGCATGTAGGAAGGCTATTACTTCCTTCGTACTTCTTGATGAGCATTCATTTAGAGTGGTAGAGGGTGAGGGTTTTAAGAGACTATGCAAACAACTACAACCACAAATGACCATCCCTTCAAGGAGGATTGTTGCTAGGGATTGTTTTCAACTTTACCTAGCCGAAAAGTTGAAACTTAAAGCCTTCTTTAAATCTGATTGTCCTAAGGTTGCACTAACCACTGATTGTTGGACTTCAATTCAAAATCTTAGTTACATGGCCATAACTGCACACTTCATTGACAATGAATGGAACTATCATAAAAAGATTATCAGTTTTAGTTTAGTTCCAAATCACAAGGGTGACACCATTGGTAAGAAAGTGGAGGATGTTTTGAATGAATGGGGGCTTACAAAAGTGTCAACAATTACCCTTGATAATGCAACATGTAATGATGTGGCTGTTTATTATTTGGGAAAAAGACTTAAAAACAAGAATGCTTTAGTTGGTGATGGGAGTTTTTTTCATATGAGGTGTGCTGCCCATATCTTAAACTTAGTAGTGAGAGATGGGCAAAAAGATCATGAATTGGCTATTGAAAGTGTTCACGAAGCTGTTAGGTTTATGAGGTCCTCACCACAAAGATATTTAAAGTTTAAGGAGTGTATTGAAATTGTAGGGATAACATGTAAAATAAAACTTGGCCTTGATGTTTCCACACGATGGAATTCCACATATTTGATGTTGGATGCTGCTGAGAAGTTTCAGGCAGCATTTGAGAAGTTAGAGGATGAGGATCCTGGGTACATGGAATTTTTGAACCTCTCGGGTCCTCCTTGTTCTATTGATTGGGAAAAATCTAGGGCTTTTGTGATTTTTTTGAAAACATTCTATGATGAAACCAAATTGTTTTCATCTTCGCAAGAAGTGTCATTACATTCTGCCTTTCATAACTTGTCTGAAATTTTGTGTAAGCTTCAAGAAGCTTCCTTGAACATGAATACCTATGTGGCTCCAATGGTTTCAAATATGAAGACCAAATTTGATAAATATTGGGGGGATGTTGAAAAAGTGAATCATTTCCTATTTTTTGGAGTGATATTTGACCCTAGGTTTAAGTTCGGTTATGTTGAGTGGTCTTTCAATGACATGCATGGGGATGGTAGTCCAATTGCTAAGAAAAGTATTGAGTGTGTCAAGAAAAGTCTATTTACACTATACAATTGGTATAAATCTGAGCACAGTAAGAATGTTGAGGCTGCCCTCTTAGATGCACCATCCGAGAACACTTCTCTTGGAGAAACAAGTACCCAAGCTAGAAAACCTACACTTTTTACAAGGGCTGATGCATTTAAACAACACTTGAAGGATAAAGTCATTGTTGATAATAAAAATGAACTAGAGAAGTACTTAGGTGATCCATGTTGGGTTGATGCTGAAAATTTTAACATTCTTAAATGGTGGAAGGAGAATTCAACTCGTTATCCTATATTAGCTACTTTGGTTAGGGATGTTTTGGCAACACCTTTTTCAAGTGTAGCATCTGAAAGTGCTTTTAGCACGGGTGGAAGGATTTTAGACATGTATAGGAGCTCTTTGAGTCCAACAATGGTTGAGGCGCTTATTTGTTCTCAAAATTGGTTGATGCCTTCGGACGAGAACGATCCAAAAGTCCTTGATTTACTTGAAGAATATGACATAACTGATTCAATAGTTTCAGGTACATAGTTAATCCTTTTGTCCTTTTTAAAAATTATTTGATAAAGTTAAGCATCATCTCATTACAATTTTCTTATATGGTTGTAGAATTTCAAGTTGCTTGTGTTGTTGGAGCAGCTGCTCCTGGGCAGGCTGGCCCGATTTAATTAGCTTTTAAGTATGAAAAAATTAAAAGTTATATACTAACTGTTTTCTAAGCCATAAACTGAATATTTTTTATGTTGTTATGTGCAGCCACTTTTTTGGAGTCGTGAATGACTCGACTTTTTGAAGTCTGAACGACACAACTGACCTATATCAGTCTCGCACATCAATTCCCACACAACACTGGATCCATTTGAAAATGGTACAAGTTAATTTTTGGTAACTCTTTATTCATTTTGTTTTAATTCCTCCTTGTTTTAATTTTGTTTGTGAAATGTATGGTTCCAATCATTTTAATTTTGTTTTAATTCCTGAACACATGATTGTTGTTATTTTTAGCTTCCATCGCGCCTATATATTCAGTTGGAATCAAAAGTGTCCAGAGAAGTTTCTCAAAGAAGTTTTGGGGATGCCATGAGAATGGTGAGTTCTATTACAATGTTGTGTTAACTTGCTTTTGCTACCTTTTATTATTTTTTGAATTTACTGTCTGAGTGCTCTGCTATCACAGAAATTTCACCCACTCAGTTTTAGTTAAAATAGAAACCCACACCAAGTGAATTGGAATTTGGTTGAGATATATGGTGGTGATATAGAGCTTTATGGCCTTGTATCTGTTGACGCCCCTTTTTATAATAGAGTATATTTCTAGGACTAATACTATTTTCATATATATTGTAGTTAAAAAAAAATGCAGCAGGGGAATTTGAAGTTATACGACTCAACTCTAGCTACACTTTCGGTTTCTTTCAGCAGAGAACTACAGTTAGACTTAGCCGAGTCTTTGCTGAATTAGATTTCTGATTGCTTGTATCCACATCCTTACAATGCTTTGCTGGTATCATGTGATGCACTGGTGAGCTCAATTATGAAACTTCAAAGTAAAGCCTGCTTTTTATTACTTTACCTAAAGAACCAAAATAGCTATATTTGATGTGTCATGTCAAGAGAGAATCATAGAGAAACCCTAAAATATTTGAGTCTTCTGTATGCTACTTATATTACTGAATAATCTGGTAGTACAAGGTGAAGCACAATAGTATAGCAATTACTTTACAGAAAAAGGAAACAAGGAAACTCAAACTATTGTGTTTCTATAAGAAATTTCTCCACTTGGATAATTTTCTAGCGCAGTTTAATAAGCCAAGGCCCATCAAACAAATGAATGTATTTTTATTACTATAATGTTGTTGGTTACTGTTTGTTTGCCTTGGATTTATTGTAATGACATGCTAAGTCCTCCTTCATTTCATCAATAGGCTGCATAGGAAAGCCCTTATTAGGCTGAGCAACTGAATTTAAAAGTGAACTATCTCTAACAAAATTCCTCTTGTATTTCGGTGCTTATACTGGCTTACATTTTATCTAATCAAAATTTGCAGAATCAACCTGAGCGGGCGGTGCGGGTGTTTGCAAAGATGAGGAAAATAAAACTTCTACATGATATGAGAACATATGAGCTTCTGTTTTCATTATTTGGTATTGTTAATGCCCCATACGAAGATAGTAGTGTGATGTCACAGGTGGATGCTGCCAAAAGAATAAATGCTATAGAAAGGGATATGGCAAATAATGGCTTTCTGCATAGTCATCGTTCATTGAAAAATTTAGTAAGTTCTGTAATGTTTCCATTTTTTATCCATAATTTAAGGATGATGCAATCTTATGTGGAATTCCTTCTGCTAGAATCTATGAAGAACTTAAATATGTGCTTGAAAGGGAGGTATTCAATTGAGTAGTCAATAACATGTTCCAGGATGCAAATGAGAATGTAGAGTATGCAAAAAATTTACTTGAAAGGTCATGCATAATTTTGTTTATAAGCAAAAGCTTTGAAATATATTATTTCTAAAATAACATTTCTCTTCTCTTGCAGCTTACAGTGGAACACTTCTCTTCTCTTGCAGCTTACAGTGAGTGTTTAAAGTGCTGAAAATATGATGGTGAACAAAAATTATAATTAGTGTTGGTTGTGTCATCATATTGACTTTTAATGTTAATTTATATATGAAGGATGAATGTAATTTAAGTATTCATAGTGTATTTTAAGCTTTCTTTTAATGTTGGCATCTACAAAAACTATCTTATACACTTTATGTCCAAAATTAAATGTATTATTTTGATATAATATTTGATCATAGTTTATTTGAAATTTACAATTTGATCATAGTTTATTTGGAAGACAGTGTAAATTAGAATGTAAAATAGTGTTAAATTGGATCATTTATTATTTTTATTATTGCTTTAAATTTATTATTTAATATTGTTTTAATTAAAAAAATTAATATATAATTGAATTTTTTATGACAATTTAATATTAATTAACCGAACAAACCAATCCATTTTAATCGATAAATCGATTAAACCGAATTCGATCAAACCGATTACAACTTTGGTCGGAATTGGGCCTACTATTTGAATCCATGATTTTACATGGTTTGACATATTGGGCCCAAATCCAGCCCAAACCGATCGATGTCCACCCCTAGGCTCATGTTTTCATTTCCATGTCTTCTTCATCATTTCTCTCCAGATTTCTTCAAGATTAATCAAAGATCACTCAAGGATACACCATTTTGAGTTCATATGATCATCCTTGTGCCTAAATCAATATTTATATGGTATCCACGTGTTTTAGAGAGAGAGAGTCTCCCACTTCTCTCTAGAACTTATCGTGACCACTCCTCTCTTATCCTCTAGGGTTCGAGAGTTTTCCTTCACCTTTTCGTGCTTTATTCACAAATACTTCTGGTTTTCTCACTACCCACTGTGGTTTCTTTCCGACTCTCCGAGATCTTCAGGAGTCTTTGCCTTTCCAGTTAGTAAGTAATTGGGTCTTTCATTGTGAGTCTTTGTTCTTCTGTTTTAGATTGAGCTGTCATAACATGGATACGTGGAAATGTGTTGATTTCTCAAAGGAGGAGGAAGAGGGGATAACGGCGAAGATCGAAGAAGTGTGTGAAGGAGAAATCTTCCAACTGACTTTGGCAGGAAGATTATGGACGAACAACAACTTCAACTCAAAGGTGTTGACAAGTACTATGTTAGGTGCCTGGAAGCTTAAAAACCCAGTAGAAGTGCAAGAACTAAACAAAAATATGCTCTTGTTCCGATTTGCAACAAGGAGGGATCTGGAGAACATTTTAAAGAACAGTCCATGGAGCTTCGATAGGAATATGTTGGTTCTCAGTAGGATTAAAGGTGAAGAACAACCTTCAGATCTGAACATGCATTACGACACTTTCAGGGTCCGAATCTATGAACTACCATTAATGCTCGGATCTGAAGCAATAGCGAAGAAAATTGGGGGTATTTTGGGACTGTTTGAGGAACTTGACACAAAAGAAGCTTACAGGAACTGATGTTTTCTGAGGATTAAGGTCACCATTAATTTAAAGAAGCCGCTCAATAGGGGAACAATGGTGAGGTTCAAGGGAAAAAATTTGAGAGTGCACTTCAAATACGAAAGTTTACCAACTTTCTGTTTCGTTTGTGGGAAAATATGGCATCAACTCAAGGACTGTCGAACTGTGGGTGACCTAAGCGAAGAGAATTTTGAAGACATTGAAGAATAAGACCTTTCTTTTGGAGCTTGGTTGCGAGCTTCTATTTTGCCGAGAGTTCAAGAGGAGGTGCGAAGGAAAGATTCCACATCTAGCTCTTGTAGTAAGAGCCTTTTCAATATCTCCTCTAGCCACAACAAATGCGAGACAAAAGGGTGAAGTAAATACATATAAGAAAGAGAAGTGGAGCAACGTCAAGCAAAACCCCAGGAGGCGACAGGGGAGAAACTCATCACTAATAAGGAGAGTGGTCTTGAGTTGCAATTGCAAGAAAGTAATATAAAGCACAGGGTCACAGAAACGGGAAATGCATTGCTTGAAATCGAAGCGATGTCAGAATCATTGGGAGCAATGGACATTTTGAATGTGGGGAAAGAAAGAAAGAAGACATTGTTGGAAAGAAAAAGCAGATGTCGCAAGTGGACAAGACGACAAAATACGAGAGAGGTGACTCCTACAATGGTATTAGACAAAAAGATGGAATGTGGTAAGGGAAATCTATTAGATATTATGATATTGGATGGAAAAGTGGAAACCTGTGGAAAAGGAGAGAAAAAGTTAAAGGGGCAAGAGGAGATTGGAAATCCCGTTACCAAAATACCAGAGGTTGTGTTGGAATCCCAACACTGTTAGAACATGATTTAGATATGTGTTTAAATCTCAGTGTTTTGATGATAACAATGCATATATTTGATGAGAAACAAATTTTAGTTCTAATAAGTTCATTGAGTGTGAAGATAAGAAATTCTAATTAATTCAGAATTGTTGTTTGGAGAATCAGAAATATGCCATGCACAACAGAAAGACTATTCACATCCACTTTTGAAGAAACATCAGCAGTTTGGAAGAATGCAGAATGTTCGCTGGAGAGAGGATTACATGTGTACTTCTCAACAAGTTGTTGCTTTGGAAGTCACGGGTCACAAGAAGAAAGAATTTCTGAAAAGTTGCTTCTTCAAGATCAGAAATCAAGAGTGTATAAGAAACAAGCTCTAATGCAAAGTTCAGAAGTCAAGATTTGTTGATAAGTTGCTGCTCCGATTTTTGAAGACAGAAGTCAAGGTTCTGAAGACTCAGATAGTTCATGGAATATGCACTTCAATTCAACATCAGAAGTATTCCATCAGAAGAAAAGAAGAAAGAAAGAAAGATTTTCTGGACTCAATTTAAATTAACATTATATAGTCCATCAGAAGGCAAGATTAAAGGATGACATCCTCTCAATCCAATCCACTCAACAGAAGAACTATTGTGACCGTTTCTAAAGAAACGTTAATAGTTCTAAGGAATGTTGAATGTTCATTAGAAAGGTAATCAAGTATGTTCTCAGGAAAGCACCAATCTCAGATATCCAGAGAAAAGATTTCATGATCAGAAATTAAGATGTAGCTGACATAAGTTGTTGCTTCCAGCTCAATCCAAAGATCAGAATTCAAGAGATCAGGAAATAAGAACTCAACATCAAAATCAGATGTATTCATATTAGCTTCTACTTCAGAAATCAGACATCAGATATGAAGCTTAGAAAAGATGATTATCAAGAATCAAGGATCAATTGAAGTATTCAAGATCAAAAAATCTTCCGTTCAAAGAAGACATTGTTCATCAGATAAATTGTTATTTATATATCTGAAGATAAAGTTCAATTATCTGAAAGACTCTGACTCTACAATAACGAATCATCTTATATATCATTTTCATCATCATATCAGAATCAGTCCAACAAGAAGAAAATAAGACAAAGACAAGATCAAGAAAAATCTTCCAAGCTTGCTACTTCAAGCCAGAAGTAAATCATTGAAAGTGGTGTCTTCGTACTATCAACTATCTTATTCTTAAGCCTATATAAAGAGATCTCATCAGCATTTGAAGATTTACGAACTATTCCACACTATCAAGCTTGAATCAAATTCCTGAAATATAGAAACATCAAGAGAAAAGAAGAATCATTATTGATATACATCCATAAATATTATTCAAGAGAAATATCAAGAACACAAGAGTTTTTGCTCGTTATTGTGTTAATATATTAGGGATTAAACACAAAGAGTTGTTTCTCATTATTTTTGTTTTATCTTAGAGTTCTCAATACAAAGAGTTGTTGCTCATTATTTGTATTAGAGACTTTGTTCTTCATTGTTGTGTTAATTCGTTTTTTAGAAGCAAACATTATAAACACATTGATTGCAATTCTGTTAAGAATTGATTATTGCCTCAAGTCACTAGGTTGTTAGTACGAGACTTGAGAGGGCTAAGGTGTCAGTTTGGTCTCTTAGACGGTTATGGTTAGTAACTATAACACCCCTATTTTTATTTATTTAATTTTATAAATAAATATTAAGGGAATATATGTGTTTACGAGTAAGTGTTATGTTTCTATGTGTTGTTACGCCTTAATAAAGGGTAATTATCTTAGAAAATAAAGAAATTAATGTATTAGGGTGTATGACTAAAAATGTAGAAAAATACAGGTGGAAGGAGAATGTTGGTCTAATAATAATAATATTTAAATTAAAATAATAGTTCTAGTTTTTATAACTATATTATTATTATTATTATTATTTTAATGAGGGAGAGAAAAGTTTGAATAATGATTTAGGGGTCCAATGGGTCATTGTTAGAATAAAATAATATTGAGAAGAGAAAAGAGAATTAGAATGTAGAAATAGAGTCAGAACGATCGTAGAAGAGAGAAGAAGAGAAAAAGCACTAAGTAGCTAGAGCAAGGTATTTCACTGTAGAGATTAAGAACCAGCAAATCCAAGGTAAGGGTGAGATTCTAACTCTATAACGGGTTGCATAATGATGGGGAATGCTAGTGATTAGGTTCCATGATTGTGTGTTCTTGATTTCACTATTTCACTTTATGGGGTTTTACCTATTGATGATTTTTTTGATGCATTATGATGAAATTGGTATAATTGCGATTGAATGTATGCAATTGAGTGTATAAATTGTGTCAAAATTTTGTATGATGTGTGTGTGCAAATGTTGGTAATGAAGAACATGTTTTGGTGTAAAAAATTCAATTTTTGGGATAAATTGGAGTGCGTTTTGTAACATAAAAATCTGGTATTTTTTGTTCTGGTACAGTGGGAATCGGATACCGCTATATGGGTACTTGGTTACCAATCGAAAAATGGTGTTTTTGGGTGTTTTAACAGGGTGGAATCGATTACCATTATAGCAGTAATCGGGTACCACTGATGCTGACAAATTTGTTTTTAAAACTTGTAAAATCCATAAATTTCGACTCGGGTGTTCATTTAACGCGTTGTCTGAACCATTGAAAAGATAATACAATGTACTTTCTTGTAAAAATAGTTTAAAGCTTTGGAACTAAATGTTGGTGTAATCCCTAGAGGCAAATACTTTGGGTACTTGTATCAAATTATTTATTGATAATAAAAAGGCATTTCTTTATTATGTTTGCTTTTCCAAAATAATAGAGTCCCTAGAGTAGTTCGTTTGTTTAATGAAATATTAAGTGTTACTTAATCATGAGATCCCGTTAAATATAAGAACACTATTATTAAAATATATGTAGTCGAGCTTTATTGCAAAGTGGGATAACATTAAAGCATTGAGATTATTATGAAGATATACTGATGATCACACCCTACGGATCATGGATAAGGAGTTATCAAGTCTTGACATAGGTATGAATTTTAGGAGTAATATTTATACTGGGTTGACCTGCTATGAGAATACTACATAGAATATTATGCAAGGTGTCATAAGTTATTCTCATGGTGATAATGGTGTATACCACCCTTCGACCTGAAACCACTATGGACCTTAGATGTGAAGTTAAGTACTTTATTGCTGATCAAACATTATCTGTAACTGGATAACCATAAAGACAGTTGATGGGTACTTCACAAAGCATGTTGAGGGACATGAGTGACCTAGATGGAATTTGTCCATCCTGCATAACAGGATAAATGTCTAAGGGCCCAATATTGAATTGGACAAGGGTGACACAGTTTATGCCTTGTGTTCAATATTGACATAAGGACAAAAGGGTAATTGTACATACAAATATTATCACAGAAAGGTTTTGTCAGATCACATGATATTTTCGTAACTTGGGTAGCAGTGATGTGTTGTTAGATACCGCTCACTATTTATTATGTTAAATGTGTAATTTAATATAATTGCCAACGTCACGAAAACCTACAGGGTCACACACATAAGGACAGGTTGATGAGAGATGGAGTAAATAAGGAACACCGTAAGGTACAATGCACTTAAGTGAAATATAGAATATGGTAAGGTACCACATGCTTAAGTGATATGCGGCATATCATAAGGTATGATACTCGTATGTTTAATTGGGCTTTTAGCTTGCAGCCTTAATTGGGATTTTAGCTTGTAGCCCATATAAGTGGTTCTATAAATAGAACTCTTGTGCTGAAGCATTTGACTTGATGAAAATTTGATCTTGATTTCTAGTCGTATATTTTGTCTCATTCTCTCACTCAAAGTTTTCGTTCGTAAGCAACTAGCACTATGTCCGGAAGGGATCTGTTCGTGTAGACTGAGTAGAGATGTTGCTATTCATCAATGTTCGTGATCACAACATCAAAGGTCTGAATCATCACAAGAGGTAATGATTTCTATCACTGACCATGCCCATTCATAAGGATCACTAAAGGAAAATTTTAATTTTCTTCTATGTTTTGGATCACAATTTTCCTTCACTAAATTTAAATGGTGTGTAAAGATGTTTTGTGGTGTCAGTGTCATTTGTTGTAGGTTGTCGGTGTTGGTAAATCTTGTAAAAATTAAAAAATTCATAAGTTGATTTTTAGGTTTCTGATTAACGTGTAGTTTGGATTGTTGGAACACTGGTTTAATGTATTGTCTCTTAAAAATATTTTCAGTACCATAATTCCAACTATTTTATGCATGGACGAGTGTTTCATACTATCGAGTTATGTCTTTTTGTGAAATGCATGCAAATGCTTTGTATAGTAGATTAATTGGGAATGTCCTATTTTAATGATGAATTTGTTGTTGTTGTAGAATTAATCATGAGGATTTTGGTGTTGATGTAATGTGATATTTTCTATCTTATGATGATTATCTTGGCGAAGGTTTATGCCTTGTGTGTTAATGTTGTATGAAGTGTGATGCATATTATTGTGACTGAATGTGATAGTGTTGTACAAATGATGTATGAAATAATTGCATAAATATTGCATGATGATAATTATAATGATGGCCTGTATTGGCGTGGAATTGGTGAATGTTAATATCAATTCATTTTATGTTTTTGCATATCAGTGTCGCATGCATTCATGATAATGGCTTATGCTCTGTAAGATGAACTGTAATGGCGAAAGAGAACCTGTATTGGCAAAAGATGGTCTGTATTGGCAAAAGATGACCTGTATTGGAGAGAGATGGTCTGTATTGGCGTAAAAATTGGGGTTTATGCCCTGTTGGTACCACATGCATTGAGTCAATGTCGGTCTCATTGCATTATGATATTATTGATAACTTGATGTTTTGATGCTGAAAGAGTATGAGTTATTCTATGATGATTATTATGTGTTGTGTGTATATTTGATTATATTTTGATGTACTTTGTGGTACAATGAATGAAGTAAAGGTGTCAGGTAAAGAAG